AGCCCGATGCGGGACTCGATCCAGGGACTCCAGGATCATGACCTGAGCCGAAGGCAGTCGCTTAACCAACTGAGCCACCCAGGCGCCCCTGTTTGCATCTTTCTAGGAATTTGTCCATTTCAACTAGCTTCTAATTTGTTGCCATAAAAGTATTATAATCCTTTTTATTTCAATCAGATCAGTAGCAACATCCCCCATTCATTCCAAAAACTAGTAATTTGAGTCTTCTCCTTTTCTTGATCAGTCTACATCAAGGTTTATCAATTTCATTTATCTTTTCAAAGAACCTACCTTTGGTTTTATTTGTTTTCTTTATTGACTTCTATTCTCTATTTCAGATCCACTCTTTACTATATCCTTCCTATTCCTTGCTTTGGGTTTATTTTGCTCTTTTTTTTTTTTTTTTTTTTTTCTTAAAGTCTTAGGGTAATGCATTAGGTTATTGATTTGAGATCTTTCTTCTTTTTTAATAGAGCTATTTGAAGCTATAAATTTCCCTCTAAGCATTGTTTCAGCTGCATCCCATTAAGTTTTGGTCAGTATATTTTCTTTTTTTTTTTAAGATTTTATTTATTTATTCATGAGAGACAGAGAGAGAGAGAAGCAGAGGGAGAAACAGGTTCCCAAGGAGCAGGGAGCCCGATGCGGGACTCAATCCCAGGACCCTGAGATCATGACCTGAGCCGAAGGCAGACGCTTAACCATCTGAGCCACCCAGGCGCCCAAGTTTTGGTCAGTATATTTTCTTCCATTCATCTCAAAACTGTTTTCTAATATCCCTTGTGATTTCTTCTTTGATCCACTGGTAATTAAGAAGTGTGCTGTTGAGGGGCGCCTGGGTGGCTCAGTCGGTAAGCGACTGCCTTCAGCTCAGGTCATGATCTCAGGGTCCTGGGATGGAGCCCTGCATCGGGCTCCCTGCTCTGCAGGAAGCCTGCTTCTCCCTCTCCAACTCCCCCTGCTTGTGTTCCCTCTCGCGGTCTCTGTCAAATAAATGAAATCTTTAAAAAAAAAAAAAGAAGTGTGCTGTTGGGGTACCTGTTGCTCAGTCGGTTAAAGCATCTGCTTTCAGCTCAGGTTATGATCCCAGGGTCCAGGGATAGAGCCCT